TTGATATATAATATATATATATATATATAAATTATATATATATATATATATATATAATCTGTCACTGTTACACATATTATACTCTGTTCATAATAGCAATAATGTATATAATCATATATATATATATATATATATATATATTATATAAGTATTTTAATTAACGCCCCTGGCATGTGTATATTTCGGCTGCGTTATTACTACACTAGTTTAAATTATTAAATGGGTAATAAAAAAAATATCTACTTACCAACATGTATATGAGAGAAATCGATAAGTACATGGCGAGATGGTTTTCAACACAACTTTAATAAAACGTTTTCAAAACTTCTTCGATAAATCGATATCAACCGTGTTGGGAAAATCTGACCCTGAACTCAGTCAGATAAAAACCAAGTTTTCCCTAAACAAAAAGCCTTAGCCAGCTTGCTCAGTTGACTGTTGATTCTAAACTTAAGGCATAAAACTCTGACGTGGAGTTTTTATATTCTGGGTTACGTCCGTAACAGATTCGTTTCTGGATCAGAGAGTCCAAGAGTAAAGGGCGATTGTATCAGTCAAAACACGGCGGTTTCAATATAGACAAAAAGTACTGCGAACCCAGTTCATTATTAGATAATTTCGTAGTGAGGGCGTTATTGCACAAACGCAGACGTGATAATGTTTATTCTGCATGACATAGGGGTATTAAGATGACCAACCAGCAGCCTTAGACCTTAGAAAAACAATGAATATTTGTGATATTATCGAAGAAGAGATGCTGAGCAGTTGAAAAACACGAAGCAGTCACGATGACCATGCTTCCCTAGTTGTGTGCGAGTATTTGAATTTTTACGATTTTTCAACCAAAATCCTAGAAAAATGTTAATTTCCCGATGTTAGTGAGACAATACATTTTTTTTCCAATGTTTGTGAACATGGCCACATAGTTCATGTGATTCCTCGTGAACTTGAGAACAAATATTTTAAAAAATCTCTCTGACAACTGTTTTGGTTAGGATTTAATTTGGGTTTAAACCTAGCCGTATCCGGCCTCTAGCAAACACGTGTATATGTGCTAGCGTGGCCTAGCATATTGTCATGTTCACAGCTTGTAATGATTAACACAGTAACAGGCATGCATAATATGGTTATTAATTTAATTCAACTGCTCTTTCATTAATAATAATACTCGGAAATACCCAGCATAGTAGAGCGGCTAAGGAGAAAAATCGTGCACTGGTGATACTATGACACCTAAGGATCATTAAAAAAATAGACCCCAAAAAATAAGCCGCTTAGTGGTCGCCATCTTGAAATTCAAAATGGCCGCCAAAATATTGGATTTTTATCAATAATCTTCATATCTACAGCACTTAGCACTGTCATTCATGTCATTCACAGGTCTTTACCTGTTTTCAATATCAGGGAGTATTATGCAATCATCAAAAATTATGTCAGATGGCCGCCATATTTGATTTCAAGATGGCTGCCAAAATATTGTTATTTTTGTCATTATTTTCATATCTACAGTAACGTAACACAGTCAATCACACCTTTAACCATGTTTTTATTATCAGAGAGTATCATGCAATCATCAGGAAATTATGTTGGAAGGCAACCATATTGGATTTCAAGATGGCTACCAATGAAAGTTCCTATTTTGATTGTATGAAAAAGTTTCTCAAACGTTTAGCCACTTACTATCTCGGTGTCGTATCAGTAGGTCATATCAGTACACCACAGAGTCCTATACGATAAAGGGGCATATCTCACTCCCTGATACTTCTCTCATACGACTGACTTATATTAAAGAATATATATATTTATATATATATATCTGTCTCTTATACACATCTAGATGTGTATAAGAGACAGCGCCGAGGACCTACAATATGTGTTTGGATATCACTTTATTCCAGAGTTGAATCACACATTTTACAATGGACAGGAAGAAATCGAACTTTCAAAACGTATGATGAAATTTTGGGGGAACTTTGCAAAAACAGGGTAAGATTCGTTTAGGAATGTTTTGAAATTCAAATAGAAAACTTAATTAAAACTTGATATATCAAAGGCATATTATATTTCATGGCTTAGTTTTGAGGATTTTTTTCAGGTCCCAGTTACTATTTCAAATATAAGTGGATTATGTATGTTATATTATATTAGTTACGGTACTGTATTAGTATTAATACCGACTTGGAAGTAAAATGATGTGTTACGGAGATATTCTGTACCAGTATGTATAGTAGGAAGATTTATATAAAAAAATCTTGTATTGGGCAGGCCTGAACACAAAATCACAAAAACACACAGAGATCAAAAAAAAAAAAAAAAACAAACAAACAATATAAATGATTTAACGTTTTCTTTTTATTTTGAATGAAAAATAAATGCGATCGTTAATATCGATCTTGGTACAATGTAAACCTGTAATCATATGACTACTTATACAGACTTTTACTATATTATAGGCCTAGACCTATATTACTATATTATAGGCCTCCTACTATAGTATAGAGGCCTAGTCCAAGACCTTGTTGCAAATCCCAGCCCACATAAGCCTAACCTATAAAGCCAAGCATAGGGGTCGTGATCGCGGTATCCTGACCATTAAAAATTAGCAGACGCACTGGGAAGCGTTGTTCACGGCATTGGACTGCAGCAAAAAATTATTCCTCCATCAATAATGGAACAGGGCCACGTCATGCTTGGCTGATTAGTTTTGATTTACATTTCGCAAGTCTAGTGCCATACGCAGCAAAACTCCGTTTCTAGTGTTGTTGTCAAATGCATTTCATAATCAGGCTGGTTTTTGATTTACGTTTTGGAATAGAATTTGGAGAGGGCGTTTGTTCAAGTCAGACCTACGTTTTGAATTTGAATTACATTTTAAAGAAATTAGAACTACATTTTGAAAAATTTGAACTTCATTTTGGGAAACTAGATCTACATTTTGAGAAATTTACGCATACGTTTTTATAAATTAGACATTGAATTTTGCAATTACATTTTGATTTTAACATGGACTTTTACTGCGTATGGCACCCCATAGAATTCAACGTCTATTCAACGTCGATTCTGTTCGTCGATACAACGTCGCTATGTGGTGTTGTTTCAACGTTTAATACTGACGTTGAATTGACGTTGAAACTATGCCAGTCACTAAACAACCTAAGTTCAACTCCTATTCAACGTCGATTCACGTCGTTGATACAACGTTGTGATGTGACGTTGGTTTGACGTTGTACACTTAGGTTGATTCGACGTTGAGATTAGGTCCGATAACTGAACGACCTAATTTAAACGTCTATTCAACGTCGATTCTGTTCGTCGATACAGTGTAGCAATATGACGTTCATTCATCGTTGAACGCTAACGTTAAATCGACGTTGAAACTATGTCAGTCACTTAGGAGGAGGCACTCGAGACGACTGTGCGACTGCTAATAGCGGATGTAAGCTGGATTTGCTACTATTTCCTGAAGAATGTAGTAGATTTTGGGATGATTGTAATACTGTTGAAGGTTTACAAGCTGAATTTACACGAGGTGACGTGGGTGGTGTTGTCGCAGCAGCAGATGTTGGAGGAATTAGAGGTTGTAAAAGATGACCATTTCCTCTTGAAAGAGGTTGTGGTCCACTTGCTTGACCTGGCGTGGGGACATGGTTTAGGGGCGGAACTCGAGACGACTGTGTCGCTGCTAATAGTGGGTGTAAGGCAGCTCTCATACTCTCTCCAGAGGAAGGTAGAAGGCTTTGACGAGATGACGGCAATACTGCAGAAGGTCTACAGCCTGAATTTACAGGTGACCACGATGGAGGTGGTGAACGAGAACCACTTGAATGGCCTGTCCTAGTATTTTGGAGTGAATTGCATGGTTTAGGGGGTACAGGAGGGGGAGCTCGAGACAAATGTGTTACTGCTAATAGTGGTTGTGAGCAATCTCTGCTGCTCTCTCTCGAGGAAGTCAGAAGGCTTCGGGATGATTGTAATACTGCTGGAGGTCTACAAGCTGAATTTAAAGGCAGTGACCTGGGTGTTGTTCTTGCAACATCATATAGAAGAGAAAGTGGAGGTTGTGGAATTGGACTACCGTCACTTGAAAGAAGTGATGGCCCATTTTCTTGGCCTATCCTAGTGATTTTGAGTGGTTGACGTGGTTTAGGGGCTACAGGAGGAAGAACTCGATAGGAATGTGTGACTGCTAATATTGGATATGAGCTGGCGCTGCTGCTGTCTCTTGAAGAAGGTAGATGGCTTTGGGAAGATTGCAATATTTCTGAAGGTTTACAAGCTAAATTTACAGGAGATGACGTAAGTGGTGGTGCTGAAGAAAAGTGGCGCTCAATGAAGTCATTAATGGATTTAGTTGTGTTGTTATCGTTTTTTGAACCATCTTTTTCCACTGTAGGATCCATGATATAGATCTAGAAGAAAAAAAAATATTTCAGCAATGTGATAATAAACAAAGTGCAGGGACATAACGTTAGGAATAATAGGACGTGAAACGGTGGTCAAGAGTGTATTATGGGCAAAAAAAAAGCAATGAGTCTACAATCTAGCAAACAACTATTTACCTTGAGAATTATTTTTCATTTATGTTGTTAGGCTCCTTCAATGTTGTTGTTAGCCTCCTTTATTGTTGTTATTAGTCTCCTTTATTCCTAGAACAATTCAATGTTATATAATATGTAAATAAATCGAAATCGAAATCAAAATTCATAATAATACCAGACAACCTAATTTTACAATTTTTAAATGTAAAATGTGTTTGCATCTGAGATTCCATGGAATTATCAGACATTAGGCTTACACCAATGTCGTGATATATTAATTCCGTCCTCAATCATATTATGCCTATATTGTAAAAGTATCGATAATGGTTGTTTTATGTTTTTTTTTAAATAATTCTCAGTGCAGTGTGAACGAGGAGGCTTTGAAGAGGAACTTTTGCTGTCCTCTTTGACAGGTATACTGTACCACCAGGATTTGCTACTCTTATTTTGGTGTAAGGAGGAGTCTCATTTTACTATGGAGCTACAAAGATGGACAGGTTTGCGCCTCAGGGCTGACGCCAGCAGGGGGAGAGGCAGAGAGGGGCATGGTCGGTCTGCTGGTGTGGAAAGAATATCTTTGTTCTGTGTCAAAACAATAATAACTTCATCAGAAAATGGAATCCTGTTGTCAAGCCACGAGTTATTTTATTTAGAAACCCGGCAAACACGTGTTTACGTTCTTATAAGGTTCTTGGCCAATGTTGTATTTAGGTATGTCACAAAATAACGTTTACACAACGTTGTAGGAACGTGAAAACGTAGTGAAATTATCAGTACGTATTTATGATTCTACAAAATAATTTTTCAACACAAAACTGTAACGTTATTGTCACGTTATTATAACGTATTATTGTTTGCTAAGAAGGTCGTTACTACTCGTAACTCACCTCTCCTTAAGTTGAACAGGAAGCTTTTCAAAGTCTTAGATGTCTTTGAATAAAGTTAAAAACAATTGACGCTTAGATATAGGCTTGCTTGTAGATATCATCTTCATTATGATATATGATATTTGGATTAATAGACTGCTCAAAATTTAATAAAGTATTCTAAACAGCAACAAAATATTAGACGATTTCCTACTGTTAAATCACGAGCAGTTTGTCAATTTTTGGAGTGCTTTTCCCACGCTTTGCATGAGCTGGTTGCGTACATCACTCTGATTTACGGTTTGCTCTAATTAAATTGTGTCTCAGATGTACGAAAACAAGACTGATAAAAGTGCGTCTAGATCAAAAAGTAGCAGCTAAATTTGGTACCATCATAAAGCTAAGGCTATACTAAAGATGGTGATGTAAAAATTAAAGCATGAATCCACATTCATGAACTTCTCTCCTACTTTTCTAAAAATATAATTTTTAATATGTTTCTGTCGTTTAAACAACGATTCATTATTGATGCGGATATGCAAACTTCAAATTTAAACCGAGACATATATTTGTGTTCCCCAATTTATATACAAGAAACGTGTACATTTGGAAGTAATTCCGTGTTTTAATATAATGTAGTAAATTATAGCATTTGAAATACAGTATTTATAGAGAAATTTCCGACATTTTTTTGAAAAATACCACCCTTAAAATTCGTTTAAATGTAAAATATTTTGAGGATAGCTTCACCAGGGTATACCCATTTTCAATCATGTGAGTAAAAGTGTAAAAGCCATAGTCACCAAAATGGATTTTTGGCACACTTTGATTTTGCCCTGGCCTACTGTGCGACGTTTGCCTGTTCTAGAAAAAAGGCTTCATAAATTATTCCTCACAGTTAAAAATATTAGTGTTTATAAATCAATCCACAGAGATTATGGATTTACCAGCCACATCTAATCATTCAAAGTGTTGTATATATCGGTTGCTGCTTCATACTAATCTTATAAGAAATAACTTAACCTAAAATGTCAAGCCTTAATATCATTGGAAAAATTCAAGCCCAGTATGTCTTTAATAATAATAATTGAAATCTATAGTTTTATATTAAATAGATACATAACTTTCAATAATCACAATACTCAAATGGAATAATTTTAACCTAGATCAGTTTCAACCGGCTGTTTACCACACTAGACACATTGCTACTTGGCCTTTTATAACCCTGTATATTATAAGTACCATTGATGTATAGCACTGCAAAGATACAAGGACACAATGAGACTTTATTCATTCCCTACGAGGAAATTACATGGCTGAATAAAAACATGTAACATACCACCGCATAAAAGGCCTATCTTGAACAGACCATTTTATTCTTATATTGTCCCCATTCTAAGCATACATATTGCAGGGTGTATACAATTATTTGCTTTGTGGATTTTGAAGAAAGCAATATTGATTATGGAAAAGGATGGTGAGATGTACAGCTGTAATATTCAGATAAAATGTTCATAATTTACAAAAATAATTAAGGTTGGAATTTGTTAATTCTAATTTCTGAGTTAATAACTGTAATTCAGATATCAAATATTAAACTTAAAGGTGTAAACTCAAAAATTGAATAATAATGTAAAATTGCTACTTTGTGGTTTCAACTGCGCATAGACTAGAAAAAAAATCTGAAAAAAATGAGTTAGGGGGAGTGGAATGTTAGAAGCAATCCACATAGCCAGATATCTTAATTAATCCCTTCTGGTCAATTTCGAATTTCAAGATGGCTGACGCACCACATAAAACATGGTCATGATTGGTGTTAATGGAAAGCAGTGGCGGATCCAGGGGGTTCAAGGGGTTCGGAAAGAAACGTAACAAAATACTATTGGGTCCTGGCTTAAAAAATGCATTACCAACCGTTTCTCGCGCATCTTGTGGGACGGTCCCGCTTCAAAGTGATTTTGGATGTAACACGCATTTGGC